CAATAGTCTCAATTGGTGCAATTCTTGCTTTTGTCATCATCAGAGTACATTGAGCATCTCCTTTATCATTACGTAAGAGCAGATAACTTGCTGTTCCGTAGCCATTCTCGCTTGCATCAGCAAAGTGATGCAGCTGTGCAAAGACTGAAGCACCAAACTGCTTTGCTTTAACACATCTGGAAACTCCAAAATCTTTAAGAAGCTGCAGACTTTCAGCCCATTGTATAAAGTTTTTACAATGTTTTCTGGGAGATTTTCATCCCATCTATATTTTTCTCGACACAGATTCTGCAGGATCCTTTTGGCAGGCAGTACCACAGGAGCAATGAATCCCAAAGGATCAAAGACTGAACTAATCAGGGACAGCAGACCTCTTCTTGTGTGTGGTTTCTTTTTTATGCTGATTTTGAATTTAAACTGATCCGTTTCAGCACACCATTGGATTCCTAATGCCCTCTCCATTGGCAAGTTGTCCTTATTTAAGTCCAAATCCTGAAAACCTGGAACCTTTTCCTCTTCAGGAATAGAGCACAGCAATTTCTTGCTGTTGCTAGACCATTTGGTTAGTCTAAATCCACCCTTTTCCAGCATGCATCTCAAATCATTGAAAAGAGAGACTGCAGTGTCTTCAACAGCAGTGGATTTAAGACCGTCATCTACATACAAATTCTTCCTGACTGTTTTAGCTGCTTCTTGACCAAACTCTTCCTCAAAATCTGTTGCACATTTCTGAAGTGCAAATGTTGCAATGCTTGGTGATGAGGTGGCTCCAAATATGTGAACCAACATCTTGTGTTCTATGAGCTCCTGCTCATAATTCCCATCAGGCCACCAGAGAAACCTGAGCAGGTCTGTGTCCTCATTGCTGACTCTAACTTGGTAGAACATGGCTTCAATGTCAGCCATAACTGCCACTTCTTCCTGTCGAAAGCACATGAGAACCCCTAAAAGAGAGCTTGTTAAGTCTGGTCCTTGAAGAAGCTGTTGGTTTAGTGATGTCCCCTGAAAACTTGCTGCACAGTCAAAAACAACACGCAGCTTTTGTTTTACTGGATGTCTGACTCCATGATGAGGCAGATACCAGATTCTTCCATCTGCAGACTCGCATTCAGCTCTATGAAGTTTCACAGCATATCCTTTTTGAAGAAGACTTTCCATGAAAGTGACATATTCTTTATAAAACTTAACATCTTTAGAAAACCTTTTCCTTAAGTTGAATGCATATTGTTCTGCAATAAACCGATTGTTTGGCAAAGACAGGGACTTGTTTCTTATGGGAAGACAAATGGTGTAATGACCATCAATAAGCCTCGAGGACTGAGACACCATCTCAATGGACTTGTGATCTTCTTTAGACATTTCTGTGTCTTCATTTTGTCCCATGTCAGGAAAATCCTGTTTGAACTGCAGTTGCCGAAGTTCTTCTAACCTGGCAACTGAGATTCTGTTAGCAGTCACTTCTGTCAGTTTGTTTTTGTCCACTGAAGCACTTCCACCTCTGAGTGGTCCATTTATTGTCCATCCTAGTCAGGTCCTCACACTGTATGGTCCATTTCTGACACTGTTGATTACCTGTAGTGGTTCCATTGCCTTGGGAACATTCGCTCCAACAAGCAAGCCAACTTCAGCTTTGATTGTAGGAAGCTTTACATCCTTCAGGTGTGGCCAGATGTCAACTTCTTCCTGACAGGGAATATTCTCTTTGGCCACAGGAGTAGTTTCCTGTGAAAATACTTCTGGAAGCTGTATGTACTGATTGCCATCCAGGCTACCGATTTCAAGTCCACCAACAACAGAAGTGTTCACACGAGCTTCTTTTCTCATTGTGCGCAGTAAAATACTGGTATTACGCCCCGTCATACATGGCTGGTTAATGAGCAACTTTGTGGCAAAAGTGGCAGAGCTACCTGGATCCAAAAAAGCATAGGTAGTTACTTCTTCAGTTCCTTTTTGTGACAACACGTACTGGTATAATTGACAGAACACAGTCTTTCTTACCGGCCCCAGTGACTCCAAAACTTTCACTCATTTGGACAAGAGCACTTGATATTGTTTGTCTTTCACAACTGTCTCTTGTTGTTTTTTTGTCCTGAATCTTTAGGAGTCATGTGTAGCAGTGTAGGATGTAGTCATGAACATTCTTGACACTGAGCCTTTTCCTTGCAGCTGTTGCTCATATGACCATGTTTTAGGCAGCCAAAGCATCGTCCTTTACTTTTCAAAAAGTCCATCTTCTCTGCATGTGTTTTACTCTTTAGTTTTCTGCAGGACGAAAGAGTGTGTTGCTCTCCTTTACAGAAACTACAAGGTTTGCTCTTTGGGTCTAGCTGGGGTGTCTGTTTTTGTTGTCTTTCCTGCTTGCAGCCGTCTGTATCATCTCTATATTCACCTTTGGGGTGAAAGACAGCTGTTGTGAACACCCTTTTTGCTTGAACTGTTTGTGAACGTTGCTCCTCTAAGTTCTGTTTTGCAGGTTCCTTTGCATTTGCTGAATCCTTAATATTTCCATACAGTGGGTGAAGCATATACTTAACTTGCTTATTTACAAAGTCAACAAAGTCTTTAAACTTTACTCTTTTCTTTGTGTTTTCTTGCAAGTCACAAGCCTTCTTTCTCCATGTTTCTCTGAGCTTGTATGGAAGCTTGTTAACTAGAGTCTTAATGTTAGTTGTGTTGTCCAAGTCTTCCATGTAACTAATATCTGCCATGGCATTGGAGCAGCCAAAGGATTGTAGAGCAGCGCCATCTTCTGGACTGATTGTCCGCCAGCTCAATATTTCACTTATGCTTCAGATATTTTATAATCATCACCAAAGAAGTCCTTCAACATCTGCTTAGCATGAGCATAACCTACTGCAGGTTCCATGTGGAGGCAGCTTTTGACTAGTTCATGTGGTTGTCCAGCTGTGTACTGCAGCAAAAACTGAAGACGATCTGAATCACTGTCGGTACGACCTTCAGTTCCATGCTCGATAGCTCTGATGGAGGATTTGTACTCCATTGGGTCTCCTTTGAATGTTGGAATTGTGAGTTCAGGCAGAAGTGATGTTTTGTGATTCTTTACAAGGTACTCAGTTACAGCAGCTTGCTGAGAAACTGCCTTGCAAAGACTGTCCATCACTGGTCTATCATTGAAGTTTGTGATCAGAGTGTGTGAAGAACTGGGTGGTGTAATGGGCTGAAGAGCACGGTCCACAGTGGTGGCTGGCAAGGCACCATGTGGCCGTTGTGGTAAGGTGGCATATGTCTCTGTTTTATTTCCATTTTCTTCTGTTCCTATAATGCTTTTAACTTCCCGAGTGCCTTCATATTTTTGCAAAACTTCCATTTCTGCTTCTCGTAGCTTTTCTTGAGCTTGTCTAAATTTTTTCTGTGCTTGCCAGTCTGCTTCTTCCTTTTCAGTTGCCAACTTTTCTTGCAAAGCTGCAGCCTTAGCCTTTAATGATGCACGCTCCATTTCTGCCTTTATTCGGATGAAGATGTTGAAGAAACGCTTCCACTTTGTGATCCACGACTGCTGCGCCTTATAGACTTTTTTTTTTTTTTTTTTTTTTTAACGATGGCCTCCCTTCTCCCCTTACAGCCATCCTCTCCACACCATTATTATGAAATATTTATTATAGTGACATTCTAGTGTAGGGTTTTTTTTTTTTATAGACTTTGACACCGCTGAATTGCTGTCTTCAGGTGCTACCTGTTGATCACTTACTGTCTTCAGGTG